TGATATTTTTTATAATCCATTTAATTCTCTCTCGGGTTTGGGAATCTTGTAAATGAATCAACAGATTAAAAACGGCGTGATGTACCATCTAGTTATTAAAACAGAATTTATTCAGAAACCGTAATGTTTACTGTAATTTGGACAAGAGGTGTAATCATTAATTAGTCAATAATATTAAACGAAACTAATAAAATAATAATCGTGAATTAATGTTTCGAGATTATAATCAAGAAAACAATTATTAAAATTGTACATTTATAAAACGCGGGGAATTAAACATTTGCTAATTAAATAATTATTAAGAATAAAATAATTGCCAAACGGGATTAGTTAAGAATTTAATAATCCGTTATTGTTGTAATCTTCCGATCTATTTGATACTTTGTTTAATTATATGGATTCATTTTCGCTTATGTTACTCACCAGAATAAATTAGAATGAATATAGGTGTGAATCGGTAAAGACACATAGGTTTGTAAATAAAAGATAGTAATCATCGTGTACTTGTAATTTGAATTATTTACTATAATGTGAGTGCTGGAGAAGCTTAGGGGAGAGTGGGGCAAGACGGGGTAGTTAAGGTTTAAAGCGCAAAAAAACGAAAATTATCGAATATATACTTTATTATTATTTTTAATTATTATCTTTGGGAATCAGTCTTTCGTAAAAAAGGCGTACAAAGGCCATCTGTTTCTTAAAAAAGCTTATAATTAATAATATTGAAAAAATTGCAAATCTCCCCATCTTGCCCCACCGGTGGGTAAGATGGGGTACCCGTAGGGGTAAGATGGGGTACTCAAGAAAGCAACCTATTTCTGTCGACAAATTTCACAAGTAAAGGTTGCATCTTCATCTTTATGCATAACTGCAGTGAGCCCATTGGCCGCAGACAAAGAAAGCAGCCCAGCCTTCATTTGAGTCTAAATAATAACCATTACAATAGAGACAAGGTGTATTTTCCACTTTACCATCGCTAATTGATGATTTAACCTGACAAGCTTTTTTCTTTTTGGTCACTCTTATTTTATTCAGTCTTGATTTTAGTAGTTTTTTTAACTTCTCTTATTTCTCTTTGTTTTTGCTTAGTTTGTGAACCCCGTCTTGCCCCACTCTCCCCTACCCCATCTTGCCCGCACCTACGAAATTTAATAAAACGATTAATTACTACAATTTACGATTCAACAAAGAAAAAAAAACATATGCTTCCCTTCTTCTGTAACCCTTGACAGTTAGAAAAAAATTTATACAGTCATTAACTGTTATTATTAAGTAATAAACACCTCCTAAAAAAAGTGAAAAAATGACAAGAAAATCGTCGAAAACAGTTTTTTTTAGTAAAACAGATAAAAGATTTGTTCTCTCATTTGCTTTTAGGTTTTGTGAACAAGAAACTATCGTCTCGGTGCAGTATTATGTAAAATATAATCGCGATTGGTTAATTCGTTTGTTAAATAAGGCCGGTACCCCGTCTTGCCCCACTCTCCCCTATAAGAATTAAATTACTATCAAACACCTGAGACGTCGAATGATTGACATTCAGTTAACAATCAGGTTCAAATTAACAACATTAAATAATATTGTGATAAAGAGTTGAAATTTATAATAACTATGCAACGGCATGTGGATTAAATTAAAGCAGAGAGATTTCCATTTAATATTGTTATTGACTTACGTGTCTTGAACTTGAAGTCAATGGAACAAATATTACTTTAATCTTCGGTGAATTCACGGGACCACTAAAAATAAACTCGTCACATAATTCAATAGTTTAATTAAGTTTATTTAACTCTGCCCACTTGTAAACAGCTTTAATATCCTCATTAATCAGTGCTAAATTTTTATTTAATTCATCAAGGTTACTCTCTACGTAAATTTGCAAATCATCGACATAGTACATATGCTTAGTATGCTGAAGAATACTTCTCAAATCATCCGTAAAAAGTATAAATAATAAAGGACCTAATACGGAACCCTGTGGAACGCCTGTTCCAATACGACCCCATTAAGATAAATAGGATGAAAACCATTTCAAAACAGAGACTGACAGACCAAAAGATTTTAATTTTAATAACAAGAGACTATGTGCTCCCCTGGATGTTGTGGAATCTTAACTTGATTAACAGGTTTAATAAGAACGTTTCTCCATTCATCAAGAAAGACTGAGGTTTGCAGTGACTTATTAAAAAAGACAAAGGACATAGGGTAGTAAAACAGACATTGCCTTTTTAACAATACTGATAGAATGACCATTAAATCCTTAAGCTTCAGTCTTTAAAGCTCTTAAGGCATTTAGTACGTCAGAAGGACCAATATCTTCAAAATAAAAAAGACTGTCATCAAAATCAACATTCAAAAGGAGATCCGAGAGAAACTACTGCTTTATAGTATAGCTCATAGTTACAACGCATAAAATTTAAACTACAAGTAACATTAGCATTCGTAGTTTCAAATACATTAATCAATATTAATAAATTTACATATTTATATCTTTGGACATTAAAAGTTTCATTTTCTTGCATTCTCATTTGAGAAGTCATTTACTACAGTAGTCAATTCCATTTTTGAAGAAGCTTCTTGCTAAAATCGCATTTGAGCACTGTCCATTTCTTAATCATTCTTAATCAACTAGCTTTACAGGCGTTCTGACCCCTAGGATTCTAGGAGATGGAGACCATGACCCATCTCCCTAAGAAGTTCTCACTTACATATTACTTAACGTCTGAACCGCATTGATAAAAATATCAAAGTTTAAGTTGTAGTTCGATAATTACAATTACACACTTAATTTCTATCAGATGAGATAAAATGCACGAAATAGTAAATGTATGTAGTTGGAAATACATCTCGTAAATATTGAAAAACGTATTGCTTTTGACATCAATGGGGTTCTTTGTTCAAGATGCAAATTCGCGTAAATCTTGTCTCGATCTTTCGAAGCGCTTAGAAAATGAACGCAACATGATGCAAATAGATTCCAAGCAAAGTGCAAAGCACTCTTTGTCTTCAGAGTGTCCAATAAACGATCCCGCACCTTTTACATGTGTACATTCTTGTTCGTACATGTACTGTTTATATACGTGTGTACATGTCTATTTGTACATGTTTATACTATAGTATATATATACGTATATATGCCAAGTTTCCTTGTTGTATTGAGTGTTCCTTTGTACTTGCCACGCTCTATCTCTCTCCCTCTCCTTTGGAATTACCGATAACTTGGAACAGGGGACAACGACCTTCTCGGTTTCACTTTACGACCAAACATGGTAGCATAAGGATGAGTGAACATCATGCTCGAAATACGCAAATTCCACGCGAGCTTCAACCTCCAAAATCCCTTAAATATTTCAGATAGTAACACAAGGAAACTTTTCAATGCGCTTATATTCGTGAAACTATCCCCCTCTCTCTCAGCAAGAATCTTATTTCATTCGCATCTTTTCTTCAAATTCCAATATCGAAGCTCGACTTACAATGCGCCAACAAAGTATCTAACATTGCTCATATAAAACGATTCTTGTCGTACATTCTCTGATATTAAACGTGCCATTTGAAATGAAATGCTGACCTCATGATTTTTTGAACGAACAAAAATAACGAAAATAAAAACCTCATATATTTATGTTGTATTTTTATATATAACACAATATTTGATTTACTAAAATGCTGCTCTTTTAATTTTTCTGCAATAATTTTTATAAAAGAGAGATGAATTTCATAAAAAAAACAATTTTTAATGCTGACATTTCGTTTTTAATAATCTCAATAAAAATAATACAGGAATCAATAAGGAGGAAAATAATTAATTTTAATTAACAAAATAATTTGAAATTTTAATATTTAAGTGGAAAAATTTAAAGAATTATCTGAAATGAATGTATCATGCTAATGTTACCATCCTAATAAACGAGAGAAAATTATTTTAAAACATTCTACAACAAAGTTAAGTACATTGCAACATTCTTGAATATTTGAAAAATTTCTTTTTCTTTTTAAGATTCTCCAACATTGTGTGGAATGTTTTAGGCTTTCTCAAATATTCACGAATTTCCCAGTTTTTCAAACATTTTATTCTTTTTCATAATCTCGAGTAGAATATTCGCAAAATTTATTCTAAATTCCCGTAGTATAATTCTTAAGAAATGAATAATTTTAGTAGAATTTATTTTCTGTAGAAAAATCTATATTTATTTTTAAAAAATAATGTTCTTCTATTTATAATAATTTACTTAAAATCTTTGTTTAATAAAATGACGTAATCTCTCTTTTTTATTTTAATTTATAGCAGCTTGCATTGAAAAGTTGATGCATATATGATAAAGTTTTAATGGATTTTATGGACTGAAAGAGCTTTAGTATACTTTATATAGTTTTCGATGATCGGAAATAGAATGAATTTACGACATTCACGTCAGAAAAAAATAGATACAGAATTGTTGTCGTTTTTTTTTCTTTTATTAAAAAAAAGAAGAAGAAAATTATTGCTCTTTTCTCAAGTTTTATTATATGTATTCTCCATATTCAACATTCACCATATTCTTCAGGCTATCAATGCAACATTGTTTTTCAGTAAGAGGATACTTTTTTTGAATATATACATATCAAATATAGAACAACGCATTTATAAATTCTTGACAGTTTAATTTGCAGTTACTGTTGCTACTTGAATTTTCATGAGCTGTGTAATTAAGTAATTAAATATTTCGATCGACTAGCTTTCAGTTTAATTTCCAGTCGGTTAAATGTCCTCATTTTATGTAAATTAAATCAGTTAGAGAGTAGGAATTGAAATATTTACAAACCTATTGATTATTAACCGAATTATGAAATATTCATTGCTGATATTTAAAAAATGTATCTATAACTTTTAACTTTTTGCATCATTAAACAAAATAAATTCTAGATATAAAAAGTGTCGTGTTAACAATGAAGTATGAAAATTAGCATTAATCTTTCAATGTTCTGTCAATTCATAATTGTTTTTCTTATTTCTGTTGCAGTAAGTGTTGTCGACGGTGAAGTTTTGCACATTGTAAAAATCAGCAGACTTCATATGGGAGCATATTTATGCATTGCTTCGAATGGTGTTCCACCTTCAGTGAGCACTCGTGTCTCTCTTCGTGTTCAATGTAAGTACTAACTTTCAATATAAACTAATTTAATTAATTATACACTGCAACCATATTTCAAATTCTCAAAGTGTATACAAACAGTAAACAATATTTATATATATGTATACATGAAGTAACAAGTTCCTAATTAAAACAATGAATGTAAATTTTAATTAATTACGAGTAAATTATAAATGCAAATACAATCTTTTTTAACTGGAAAACTGTACCAGATGTTATTTGAGGCATTTTACGTGAAATGTCCTTAGTTGAAATTTCAACTTCTTGAAAAAAATTGAAACTCGGGGAATTTGTTGTTCTATCAAGTAGAAATGTGACCCAAAAAACATTTTTGACTTTTTCGAAAATTTGGAGGGGGTAGAGGGGGGTCAATTTTACCAATTTTGCTAACACCGGCTACTTTTTGAATTTTTTCTAAACATACTTGCAATGGGAAAAATTTTGTAGAATATGTTTCTAAAAGGTTTTTTCTTCCTCTTTCCAATGGTGAATTTTATTTTTTAATGTTTTAAAAATTGACCCTATTTTTTGACATTTTATTTTTTTGTGTGCCTGTGTTATCGATGATTCAATTTTTATCATAACAAATTGACAAAATTCTTTTTTAAATATTCAGGGTAAAAAGTGATTAAGAAAATTTTGTATTTGTGAAGATTAGAAATAAATGAAAATGATAGTTCTAGAAAAAATTAGAAAATAATAAAATATTGGGATTTATTACGAGTTAGACTCTGTTACCTCATGACCGCGTTGAATCCGATTTTAATTAACTGAGTAGTTTAAAGGGTATAGGATTAGAGGTGCATAATCGATTTTATGAGGAGATGTGAGAAAGTGCTCGGTAGATGTAAAGGTCCTGGCAGTTTAAGCCTTCTAGATTAGGCAGAAGGCTTTAAATAGGATGCCTCGCCGGAACTGGCCTTCTCTACATATAGTCACTTCACATCGTCAACAACTCTACGACATGGGTTATAAACCTCCAGAATCTCACTAATCAAACTTTGTTTATTAACTTTCCATGATAGTTATATTCATCAGCTTATGTTAAATTATGCACATCCCTCTTAAAATTGCAATTTCCAAACTTGACTGAAAGTTGTTATATTTATTTTGCTAATCACTATTTATTTAATATAAGATAATTTATTTTATCCGTGTGCAAAAGAAAAATAGTGGAAAAATGTTTCTTCCCCTTTTTAAAATTATTTAAAATTATTAATTTCATTAAAATTATTCCAGGAAATTATTTCAGATTATATTTTCCATAAACTTTTATATGAACAAACACGATAAGAAATATTGACAAATAAAAGGGGTTGCATTCTTTATGCACGTTTTACATATTTTGAATGAGAAGGCTTACATAAATATAATATATATTTAAATAAGGTTGTTACCTTTTATTCTGAAAGATTTTACCATTTGCATAATAAACATATCAACGTACTGTAAGCCAGTTTTGTAGGCACATTTTTCGCTGTTAAAATAATAAGGGCAAAGTGTAGAAAATTTATTTAACGATTCAAGAAAGTGATACACTTTAATAAATTCTTGGTAATTTTTCACGTCAATGTTAACATAAATTCAAGAATCACAACTTTTCAAGTTTGAAAAATATTCAGATATTTGAAGATTTTTTCTATTCGTTCACACTCAAATATGTTATCTTATATCTTGATTAAATCAATTTTTATTTATAAATATTTATTTTAAATAATTAAAATTTAATTTAACCCCATATATTTTAAATTAAGTAATTAAAAAATTACATTGTGAATATACAAAATGTAATTATAATATAAAAATAAAATAAAATGCCACTGCTAAAATGCCACATAACCATTACAAGGTTTCCATTTCGTTTCCATTTCATCTTTCCACTCTCACTTCCTACTTCCCACATTCCACTGTCACTTCCACTTTCTATTCTCACTTTCCCACTTCCTACTTTTCACTCTCACCTCCATTTCTAAGTAATTTCCCTCTTCCCACTTTGTAAAGTGTGAGACAGGAACGTGGAAGTGGAAATTGACGGTGGAAAGTGGGAAGTGAGAATGGGAAGTGTAAGTGAGAAGTAAGAGTGTGAAGTTTAAGTGTAAAGAGGAACTGTAAAGTGAGAGTGAAAATTGGTAGTAGAAAGTGGAAGTGTAAAGTGAGAGTGGGAAGTGGAAAGTGTGAAGTTAGAGTGTAAAGTGGAAGTGGAAAGTGAGAGTAGAAGTGGAAGTATAAAGTGAGAGTGGAAATTGGTAGTAGAAAGTGAAAGTGGGAAGTGTAAAGTGAGAGTGGAAATTGGTAGTAGAAAGTGAAAGTGGGAAGAGTAAAGTGAGAGTAGAAGTGGAAGGTGGGAACTGAGAGTGTAAAGTGGGAAGTGTAAAGTGAGAGTGGAAGTGGAAGTATAAAGTGAGAGTGGAAATTGGTAGTAGAAAGTGAAAGTGGGAAGTGGAAACTTAGAGTGTAAAGTGGAAGTAGGAAAGTGGGAAGTGAAAGTGGAAAGTGCAAGTGAGAAGTGAGGGTGGGAAGTGGAAAAGTTACTGAATTGAAAATGTATCTATCTCGTACCAAAGATAATTTTAAATTAAGAAATATAGATTTTAATTGATGGATATAAAATAATAAAAAATCATTTATAACTTTTTTTAATTTTTAAATTGAAATTTATTTTTTATCTTTAGGGAAGAAATGATCTTGTCAGATATTATGTTTGACTGCTACTGATTGAGGTGGTGTAATGAATACACATATCAGGCAGTAAACTAATCTATGTAAAGCTATTGTGATAGCCGACATGGTCGAAGGATCCTGGTCATTGTCAAGCCATTGAATTCTATGCAATTGCCGGCACAACAGACACCTACATTGTATGAACATTCCATGCGCATGGCTATAAAGAGGACCAGCTCTTCTATGGGTGTGGTGTGCGATGCATTAGGTCGGTTTTCAACGTCTCATTAAGCCTCCAATTTACTGCCGGCTACTTGACCCAGATATGCTCGATATACTGTCATTGATACGACTGCACCTTGTCTTCTGTGCAATATAATACAAGGAACATCACTAGTGTATAACAATTTCTCATTTCAGGACAAATTAACCATCAATGTTTAAGTTTCATATTTTAAAACTAATTTAAAATTTATTATAATATCGATTTTAGGATAACTCCATTATTTAGAGAAATATTTATATTCATATAAATAGAATTTTAATGTAAACAAAATAATTATTTTTATTTATTTTTACACTTCAATTTACGAGAAATCGACATTATAAATTTAGTCGCGTTATTCTTATAATTTAGATAATTAATTTTGAAGTCGATAATTCAATTTTAATTACATTTTTCTTTATAATTTTTGTTGACAGTTCCGCCAATGTTATCGATACCAAACCAATTAGAGGGAGCTTATATTGGGCAAGACGTTACGCTAGAATGTCACACGGAAGCGTATCCAGACTCAATAAATTATTGGACAACGGAACACGGAGACATGATTGTTTCTGGTAATTTTATATTTTATTGTAATTTTTATAATATCATTTCACGTGAATGTTCATTTAACTTTAGATCATCATTTTATTTTTAACTTAAAAAACTTCATTAAATAATCTCATAACTTTAATGTCTGTAGTATAAAATTTTTATGTTTTAAGTGTAATTATAATTAATTTTTCGTAAAAATTTGACAATGGGAATATTATTATAATAATATTGTGAGTATGCATTATTGTTGTATTAAAATGAATGATTATAACAGTCATTATTTTCTGTTTATAACGCATGTAGAAAATTTGTATAACCTTCTGGTTCTAGTTTCTAGGCTTCTATACGGGGCCCATATTCCTTGATTATATAATTATTCATATAACAGGACTTGTTTTAACTGATTTTGAACAATTCATACTTTTCTAGAAACAATTCCAATGTAAGTTTTTTCCTTCACTTATCCTGTAACATTAAACTGTAAGTTTAATTATTACAAATTAATTTTAACTTTATTCCGGCATTTCATTTCCTTTCTCTGTTTCCCCTTAAAATATAATTAGTTCTCAGGCAGGTGATTATAATTGCTGCAGTGAAAGCTCTTATCATAAGTAAAATTACAACACAAAGGAAATGGAGAACTGGTGGAAGGTACACCATGCTTTTACTTACCATTCTGTCTATTTCAGAAATTACTGTTGGATATATTAAGTGTTATGTATTAATTGCGTGATCTTTTTTGTACAAATAACATCTTATGAAAGTATCTTCTACTACTTACAATTATTAATATTAGAAGTAAATGCACAGTTTACCTAATCACAAGCATTCTACTATATGGACAAAATTGATTTTGGGGAAATTTGGACGTTTTAAAGCTTTTCTTCTTTTCATTAGTTAGCAAAGAAATGTTCAAAATCTTTTCAGACAGACATAGATTTACCAAATCCAAAAATCTCCATAAGCCTAAAATCTCTAATAACTAGATACTCCCCATTTACGAAAAGGGATATGTGAAGTGTGCTCTTCTATTTCATACGTTTATTAACAGTAATTCCAATATTTCCTAATTCGGATTCTACTCCCCCTTTTACTGGAATATTGCGTTTGTAACCCAGCTGGAGTGTATGATCATAGGTAACGCCGAGCATTCAGGCAATATGTGAGCCACTGTTTCAGTGCTCTTCTTATACAATTTTCATATAGGTGACACTTGTCTATTATGTGCTGATGGTAGATCAATAGACTATGACCCGAGAGTCGACGAATTACGGTTCTAACTCTGATTATGTAGTTTTTGAGATCTTCTAGGGTCGTCTCACTATTTACACTAGCCTGTTCTTCTCCTGGTCCGTTAGCTGTAATTAATGGAATTCTGGACCAGCAATTATCTACTGCAGGCAGAAATTTCGGTTTTAAAATCATCGGATACAGCCATTTGACCATGTTAGGTCTGAACTTTCATTATTAACTTATTGCTCTTTAGCGCGCCCAAAACATAGTTCAAAATCTTCCATTCTAATATTTACAATGTTCTTTCCAACTCAGCTTTTTATCAAAGATTAATCTGAAATACCTTGCCGATTTAGACACTTGTGACATTGTACGACCAATCCTATCTTTATGGGCTTCAATGTCTCCAACCTGTTCGCTGCCTCTAATTTGGTAACAACAATTATAAGATTTTCTTGCTTGTTGAGTTCCAGGCCCATCACGTTCATTCATTCTTACTTTTTGGGTGACGTTTAGTGAAAATCCCAAGTGAAAAAGTCACCACAAGTTCTGTCAGGAATATCCACGATTCCTGACAGTGAACATCTATCGATGGGGTATTTAAATAAATTGGTAAAATTTTTTACTTCGTTATAAATGATAACATATTACAGCTCATAATTTTATTATAAAATTCCTCATAATATTGTTATAACTTTCTATAATTATATTTTTTTTATAAATAGTTCACTGAATTTTCTTTTTTATGTCGTTAAATTTTTCCATTCTTCCATAGAATCTTATCACGTGATATACAGATCTCACTCGCATTCGTTATATTTTAACTCTCGAAAAATGCATTTCTACTATATGAGATTGTCCACTTTTTTTGTTTCTTTTATTTGAGTAAAATTTAAAAAGAATGTGCAGTTTGCTTGATATAAAGTCACTCAAAAGAGATACAGACGGTATTCATAGAGAGAAGGAGAAGAGGGAGGAATGAAATGAACAGAAAATTAAAGTAAGCAATCAACACAAAGTGCGTGACGCGACTACTGTGCCAGATTTGCCTCAATAGCAATATGTTTCAGAAACGTCACATACTGCATTCAGAATTGAGAGAGTGTTGAAAGGAGGTAGCCCATGGTTTGGGGATAGTGATGATGGTTAGGGGAAGAGAGCGGGAAAATACGTACAGAGAGATGAGATTTCCGCGAAACATTATTGTGGCTCATCGTGACAATGAGATTTTAGAGATTAACGGACGTCGTCAAGATTCTACAAACAACAACAACAATATAATATGTCGATTGTCCCTGGAATTAAAGACTAATCTCATTGTCCACGTTGTGTCTCGTGTCTGTAACTCAGCAGAAGATTCAGAATTTGCATTAAAACGTTAAATTTTGTTGTGTAAATGTTATCTTTAATAACAGAAAAGGAGAAATGAGTTTCAAAAAATCATAGTTCATATATTTTATTTAAATATATTTTTATTTAAAACTTCGACACATTTTTCTATAAATGAAAAATTATATTTCATGCAACATTTTTTTCATTTAAAAAAAAACAAAGCATATCTTAATTTCATTTTATAGAAATATATTGCAGGCTATAAAATATCTCAAATATTCAGTTCGTTTCTAAAGGACTCTTAAAAAGCTTAATTCTCTAAAATATTTAAATGCTCCTAAAAGTTTATTAAAATATTTAGAATTTTATTAAAAGCGTTGAACAAATTGTATGAACATATTGTTTTAAATAGAAAATATATTTAAAGAATGGTCAAACAACTAAATTATTATGACAATTACGTCAATTTTCATTTTTGAGATAAATCCCTTGAATTTTCAAAAACAATTTAACTTTCTATTACAGAAAAATTTTTAATTAGCTACAAAATATACTTTTTTTTATTTAGTCTGCTTTAACAGAAATAACTATTTAGTAATTAATTACTCACAGTGATGTAATAAAAAAAAGTTTTCACCACTTCTTTGCACTATAAAAATATTAATTAAACTCGTATCAAGTTTTTGTTTTCTTTTTTTCACAAGTTCCATGCAGCTCTTACTGTCTACTAATAAAAATAAACATCAAAAATAGCAAATAAGAAAAGTTACTTCTCAATATCGAAGATAGGCAAGTCTGGAATTGGCAAACTGTACAACTTTTTTTTTTAATGACGTAGCTTTGAACTCGAATGTGAGTTGAGATCTCGTCTACTTGAGTTTTCTTTCCGGCGAGTGATAAAAGGATTTGGTTTTACTTGCCCAGGCAATTACCGTTCCGTTGCAGGAGACAAATACGAAGCGATTTCTACAAAAAGTGGTTACAATCAATACATGTTACTCAAGATAAGAAATGTTGGAGTCAAAGACTTTGGTTCATATAAATGCGTCGCACAAAATTCTTTAGGAGGAACTGATGGTGTCATTAAATTAGACGGTGAGCTTTAAATTTTCATTTTCTGATTACATTCTTCTTGAACTTAAATCTTTTTTAGACCAACTAACATCTAATAAATAAAATTTAGAAAAACGAAAAACTATTCTTTTTTTTCGGCAATTAAAAAGATTTTCAATTTAGTCAAGAAGAAAATAAATTTTCGGTTTTTCAGAAATCCCAGCTCCTTCAACAACGACGACACAAATGTCTCTCTTTGCAACTGCTTCATCAAAGCATAATGGTATTATTTTTAATAAATTATTTCGCTTTTTATTACCTACTGGTAATGTTATTATAATATTTGCTTTTAAATGTATTCTACCGCTAGCATCGAAATTCCATAAATATGGAAAAGACTGCCTTTCAGTAACAATATCAAAAGAATTATTTCAGTCTACTGATTGTAACTCATTATTAAATTAGATACTATAATTACAAACACTTTTAATACTGGAAAATTTGAAAAATCTTTTGAAAACTCTTTTGAAATTTATTTGGATCCTAATGAAAGTGAAGGGGTTTTTTTTTTAAATAAAAGTATTATTTGTTGTTCAGGGAGGAACGGTAACAAGAAATCACGACAGCGACCAATCGACTATGAAGTGGAGGAATGGCGAGATTCAGGTCAGTAATTATCTATTTTAACAGATTCCGTATATCGTGAACTCCCAAAGCAATCGAGCGACAATGTTACCCGAATAATTAGGGTAATTAAAAACAACGCCGTGAATGCATACGAGGCGATGTTTACCAAGAATTTGTTTCACTATTTACGTCATTGTTGTTTTAGTGGATAGCAATTCTTCTTTCATTAAAATTCATGTTTCAACCTATCTCTGAAAATATAAACACAAATCTAATTATTAATAAAATCATCATTCTTAAATTTAATTATATAACATAATATAAAATTTCATTTCAATTTAAATTTATAATTAAAATCTCATTTGTGCTGCAAAAATTTGTTGATGTAGTATAGAATATTATTCCTAATTTTTTTGTTATAAAAACAAATTTAAACATAGAATAACAGAAGAAAAATTTTGAAAATCCAAAATGATGGATCGAATATGGCGGACAAAAAAAGTACAAAATGGATTTCGTTGAAATTTATTTTCTAGGGGGGTTGAAAAATTTAATCATTTAGAATCTACTACAGTGGACATTTTTTTATTTAAGTTTACCAAGCCACAATCAGTGGTTATTTAATTAAATATTTTAAATAAATATTTTAGACAGCACAATAATTGTATTTCTTTGAATGAATACGGTTACCAAAATTGAATAACGAAAAATGAATTAAATTCTTTTGCAAAATGTCCCAGACTTGACAGTCACTTGTAAATAGCAAAAAAAAAAGTTAAAATAAAAATAAATAAAGCACATCGTCCAGTGTGATGAATTGGTACGGTCTCTTGATTGCAATGCAATCAGCGCTAAAGCTTTGGATTTCGATTGTGTTTTCAGAATTTTTTCCTATTCATTGTTACCGCAAAAAAGTGGCCAAAGCGAGAAAATGACAATATTTTTTCGTTCACGCACCATTTTTCAAGGGAATATTAAACGTTTCATTTGCTCGTGCTTTCCTATCGATTTTCCATTTCTCTTACTTTTCTTTTTATATTAATTTTTATAATGCACTTTTTTATTATGAAATTTTATTTACTTTTACTTTTTCTCCATAATTTCACAGAGTTGATTAATTACTTTCTAATTAGATATCTTTAATTATTTCTTTTTTCATTTGGAGATTTAATTTATTATTTTCTGTATTTATCGTTTTATTCATACTTCTAAACTAGCAACAATTCAAATAAAATTGTATGCAAACATTTAATTATTTTCATAAATAATAAAATTTCTTTAAAGAATTCAATTATTATTTTTATAAAAAATAATTTAAAATTCTAGAAAATAATAATTGAATTAGGTAAAATAAATAATTTTGATGAAGTTAATTCCTGCAAAGAATTTTGTATTTATAAAAATAGTTGAATTGTTTCGAAGAAATTATTAAAATTTTAGGAAATAATTGAAATTTATGGAAATATTTAAAAATATTTGAATTCATCCGAGGAATTCAATTAAAATTGTTTTGAAAATCATTGAATTTTTATAAAGATTTTACTATTTAAAAAAATATTAGAATTGCTTAGGAGGATTTATTAAAATTTTAGAAAATAATTGAATTCTTTCGTAAAATTTTTTTAAAAATTTGGAAATATGAACAGTAAAAATTAATTTTGTACTTAATAAGTAAATTTTTTAAATTTTGATTATGAAATTATTTTAAAAAATTATATTTGAAAATAAAAAATTTTGTAATTTGCTTAATAATAATAAATTGAATATCACATTCCGCGAGTAACATTTTGCTAGTAATAATATAATAATCAATCTATCTGAAGATAAAAAAACAAAAGTATAAACAAAAGACAACTTCAGAGTGTGAGGGTCAGAAAAAGTGAATGAATGAAAGAACCAATTATTACAGTTAATTGTATTTTTATTTTTCTATTAATTACTCGCTCAAGTGTTTTAGTTTTTTTGGCGTTTGAACAAACCTTTATTAATTAATTATTTTGGACCGTAAAAAAAGAAACAATATTTCTAGAGAATATTTTCTTTAAAAACGTTTTGGGGATAAATTACCAGTCGTACACTAAATAAACACAGAAAAATTCCAGGGGAATAAATGACCTCAGAAAATAGAAAAAGGGAGGCGAGTGATAGTGCAGAAAAATAAAGCTATACACCAAAGCAAACTGGAAAGCGCTTAGAGCCCTAGCGACCAAGCAGAAAGTCACGTTTCGTCGATTTTATCCGTCGATGGTAGGACAAAATAATTTTTCTCGAGGCAAACGTGTGCGACATGTATTTTTCTCCGACACTATGAAAAACAATAAGAAAAATTCTTCTCATCCATAAACGAAATTTCAAACAAGAGTTTTATAAAAAATTTTTAATTTATCAGAATATAATTTTATTTTAAAAATAATATCTAATGCAATTGGAGCTGTTTTTTTACAAACGTACTTGGAAAAAAAATTGAGACACTTTTTTTTTAAATCGTAATTATAGATTTCTCTTAATTAATGTACATCAAATTGCGCGAGTTCTTGTCAATTTTCAGAATTAAAAAAAAAAATCTACGAGGTAAAAGAGACAAGAGGTTAGAGTAATTAAAATGTAAAAAAAAATATTGAAGAGCAATCGCGTAACCGCAATACCAATCTTGAAAGTTTGCGGGGTAACGATTCTCAAGGGACAAGTTCCAACCTGGTTGAATTCCGCTCGTACACACGCGAAGAGCAATTTTTTTTACTTATAAACGAAAATAGATAATATCACTAACATATAATTTATTTTCAGAGAAAAAGTTTGAAATTTTAAATTACAAGCGTATTTTTAATTGCATTTGAATTGAAAATTTTAATAATGAAGCATTTTTTAAAAAAAACTCATTCACTTTTTATAATAAAACAACTTTTCAAATAAATTTTGTTATTTTTAAACTCATAAAGAATTTTAATTTCAGTCGAAACCAAAGTTTATGCACAATTTGAAAAAAGCCCATTTTTAAACATGCACATTTTTAATAAAAATTAAAACAATGTGAATAAAATATTATTAATTTTAACTTTTTTTATAAAATAATATAATTAGTAGTTTTCACAAGAGTTTATCAAAAAAATTCTTTTTGTATTAATAATTTTACAAGATAAATGAGAATATAACTATAATTATGTTGAAAAGCAGAAAAAAAGTAGACTTAATGTTTATAATAAAGATTAGTGTATAAAGTTGCTTTTGGCAATACTTAATCCGATTTCCTCTTTTACAAAGAGTCTTGTAATTCTGTTTGTAGATTACAACAGAGATTACGGATTAGCGTCGATGAGGCCTCCGGGTGATGTGCCGTCAGACGCATTGAGCCAAGGCGCCGCCTCCACCCCCGAGGTCTATCTCTCGTTCTTCCTCGCTCTTCTTTCCTGTGCACTACTTCCGGCCTTCAGGAGGTGATTCTTGCGTCAGGGATGGAGCTTCCAGTTAGCTTGTGTTAGAAAATGTGAGTGTCAACAATGAAAATCTGGCGCCGTAGAAATGGGTGGCTAAAAATTCGCCCTTTTCCACTCGATGATAGACGATGGTTGCTGAGATTCCCCGAGAAAAAATAAAGTGAAAAAGAGAGAGTATGTGCTAAATTATTTTCGTACCAAAGAAAAAAACGACTTATAAATGAAGAACACTAAACTATAAGTATACTGATTAAATATGTAAGTACTTTTTAGACTGTAATGATCATCTGGAGAAAAAAAAATGTACGCATAAATTTTAGCGATATAATTACTTCCAAGTGTTTCTTGATATAAAGCTTAATCAATGAGTTATATTTCTACTTTTAAATTTTTTTCTACATTTTTTTTTATTCTTGTGTACTTTTTCAATTTATGTTTACTTTTTACAATTTTTACAATACCGACCTTGAGACAACTTTGCGGGGTAATATTGTATTGCGCGGCTAGTTTGGGGTAATGTTGTTATAACGTTAAATCAACACTGTCAATAATATTCACTTAAAATTTAGTATCTTATACTTTCTTTCGTTAGGCAACATTGCCTTATGCCTTAATTCTAAATCTTTTTTTAATTTCTTTAGTCTTAAATCTTATTCCAAGTTTTAAATATTATGCCATAAGTCTTAAGTCCTAAAAATAGATATGTGACGCTCCACGAGAAAAGGGACCTTATTTACTATTGTTATAAGGTACAAAAATAAAGATAAAATTAAAGATTCATGAGTGATTGATTTCTTTATTTGTGAACTTTTTATTCACTAGTAAAATATTAAATTACTTATTAAAATTTAATATAAAGTTTTCCAGTTTTATTACATTTTGTCTTCTTTATAAAATTGATAAAGTGATTTCAGAATCTATATATTTCTTGAATTAAAATTTATCAAATTACCCAATTTAAAATTTCTTTTAATTAGTCACATAATATAATTTGTGTTTTCAGAATTTATAAAATGTAATTCCCTTCTCTAATTTATTATAAAAATTGGAGCAAGTTTTTTTTTAAATATTGGATTTTTTATTATTATTACTGATTGACATTTTAGTTTAAATTTTTACTCCGCTAGAAATGTGATCAGTAATTTATATATTTTTTTTAATTTGACAATTACCTAGGTCAAAATTTCTCAGAAATAACAATGTTGGTTGGGGGTCTTTTAATTTTTTTGAAAATAGTTTGTGTTAGTGGGTCCAAATGTTTTCAAAAATTTTCAAAATTATTAGAGTTACGGTCATTTTAATTTTTAGGTTAAATTTAGTTCTTGTTTATTTTTAAAGCTAAAAAAAATTTTTTTCTCTTTAAAATCAAGATAACTTTTTTAAAAAGGCGATTATTACATCAGGTAAAGCCAAAATTTTTAAAGTAATTTAATTATAGATTAATAATTATAAATTATTAGTAATTATAAATTATAAGTAGTTTGTTTTTTTAACTTTTAGTAATTGAAATCCACGTCATAATTTTTTGTACACCCTGATGCTTTAATACCTTCCTTCCGCGCATCGTTTTTCCATTTATTTTCGATGCGCAGAACTCAAACGGAAGGAAGGCATTAAAGCATCAGGGTGTATTTGAGACCCAAAAGTAAATACCAGTTAAAATAATTAATGTACTTCATTATTAATAATTGTTTAAACAATTTTAATGATTTCAGTTCCTATAAGCGAAATTTATGAATTAATAGGTGCAATGTGCACTATTGTTGGTCAAAATAAACGACTATTACCTATAGTTAATATTTACACATAGCATTATTTAAACAATTCTTAATTAACAAATTAATAGCGACGTTGTTTTTAGTTGTTTAAATTTCATTTTTTTCTAAATGTCGTTGAATGTGATATATTTTTTTAATATTTAATATTAAATAATTAAGAACATTTAATTAATCAATTGATTTTATAAAATATTAAAAAATATATCACATTCAATTCCATTTAAAAAAAATTTAAAGAACTAAAAACAACGTCGCTATTAATTTAATTAAGAATTGTTTAAATAATGCTATGTGTAAATATTAACTATAATAAGTAAAAGTCGTTTATTTTGACCAACAATAGACCAACAAATTTTTAAAACAATTTTAAATTAAAATTTTTATTTTAAACGATTGTAAATTTTCTGTTTATCCTGTAAATATAAAAAAGATTCATAAAAATTTGTCAAAAATATTGTATTTAAAAAAAAATTTAAGCTAAAAATTAAAAGCACCGTAACTCTAATAATTTAAAAAGTTTTTGAAAACCCATTGACAAACAAAGACATCTTTCCTAACACTAAATATATGCCCATTTTCAAAAAAATCAAAAGACCCCCAACCAACATTGATATTTCTGAGAAATTTTGACCCACTTTCTACTAAAAGGAAAATTAATTTAAAGAGAATAATTATCAGAAGTATTTTTTTGTATTTCAACTTTATTATAACTTTCATAAATAATTTATTGCGTTTGGAAAATATTTCCAGTTAATCAAAAAATTATTAATCAACATGAAATTAAAGACTAAATGTGAAATATAATCTTTGATTATTTATTATGTCATGACACACTTTTTAGCTAAAATAAACAGAAAATGAATATAAAAAAGAAATGATAAGGTGCATAATAATGAACGTTTGCGCGCGGTGCTGCGAAAATCGAAGAACCGTTAATTTTGCTTCTTCGATATGTGTTTTCCATGGATGTAAATATACATGTATAGAACTTTTGTTTATATCTCGACTCTAAATACGTGGAAAAAATAAAATGGAGGAAAAAAAGTGAAAAACGAGTGTTTTAGGGATTCTGAATATACAATGAGAGAGCAGAGTCACAATTTATTCAGAGTCACGTTCGCGATCATTAGAACCCTCTCTACGATTCTCTCTTGCGCATCTCTACAAATGTTTTGTAAAAGTGTTTCGCTAATTATTTCGTATGCACGTCAACGAATAAAACCCACACCCAACACTCTTGAAGGGTTCCCCAAAGGAAAAGGTTAATTATCCTGTTAGTCTTTTTTTGAACTCTTTGCAATTAAAAATGCTACTCAAAATAACTCACGATTTATGAGAAGGGTATTTAGACGAGTCAAGGGGCTTATGCGCTCATAATCAGCACACATTTGGAACTTTCTTTTTGTCTTTTTTTGTATTCAAAGTTCCTTAGAAAACTAGCAAAATGTAAAGGATTTCTGCTACTTGCATCATTTTTTTATCTCGTTTTCTTTTTACTTTCGGCTAATTAGCAGAACCTGTTAAAAAAAACGACTTGTTTCATGCACACTTTGATCTTAATTTTTGAAGGAAAATTTATTCAGAAATTATTCGAATTACGTGGATGAAATTTATCAAAACTAAATTGATTTGTATACTTATTTTTGAACGTTCATTTCTCGGTTCTGGTGAGAAATAAAACATGTGACGCAGTCGGTAAATTAAAAATTTATTTTTTTTTGTATTTAAAATTGAGTTGAACGTTTTACAATATATATTTTTGCTGTTTGGATATTTAGTTTTAATAATAAAATAATCCATTAAATCGAAAAAAAAATTTTACCTGACAAAATTTTCATTTAGTTATCCCTTAATACTGAATGAGTATTAAAAGATATAAGATTTAATTTGTTATTTTCGATTAATTTATTGCCAGTGACGAAAAGTTGGTAATTTGATTTGAAATTATAATTACTTTGAAAATCCATGATATTCGCGTTGGCTCGTTGATAAACAAATGTCCTTGGAGTTTGGCTATATATATGCGCGCCGAGTGGTAGATCGTTTCTCGATAATACGAGTAGAGGAAAGCATTCAAACTGAAAAGTTAGATAAAAGCCTCCACCTAGGCAAACAAGCGGGTTATCGTCTGAATAACGCGCTAAGCCCTTTTTGCGTCTCTCCCTCTCATTCTCTTCCTTTCTCTCTCTCTCTCTCTCTATCCCTCTCTATTTAGGTGTGTGAAAATTTATCATGAAGTTGTGTGTGCTTTCTCTCATATTTTTTAATCCACACATGAAGTGTCTAAACGAATAATACATTCAGTATTTTTCATGAAAAGTGAACGCACGCGCGACATGAGAGAATTTTTTTTTGTTTCATTTTTTCTCTCAAGCTCCCGACAATTCATATAGAGCAACATCTGCTGATTTCTCTCTAACAAAATAAAATAAAAATGTAAAAAAAAAACTTTTTTAAAAAGTCGCGCGTGTTCCTGAAAATACATGAGAACATTTCGTTTTTCTTATATACATATATACATAGATCTTCTATAAAACTTATTTTTACTTTTGCAAAGAAATCTTTTAAGTATTGGCAACTACCAACTACATTTCGAGCAGTTTACTTAAGGTTGTTCACCAAGTACAGTCAGTGCCAAAATATGAAAAACTTCTTTCTAACAAAATATATCAAACCGAACTTAAATAGCAAACAAATTAAGTTCTTACATAAAAAAATCATAAATTTTACCAAATTCCATTAAAACAACAAATAAAAATAATTAGTAATGCCGTTCATACGAAATAAATTAGAAGGAATAATTTGCAAAAATTTTATATATTTCCTTGTAAATAATATTCCATTTGAAATCATAATACATTGCGAGAAAAAGAAATTCATGAGTTTGAGAGTTTCCTTTAAAATTTGAGGACTAATGATCGTTGACAAATATTGTCTCTGATATATTTTTTTGGCATTTCGACTTTTATTATTTTCATGCTGCACTATTTTGTATCATATCACGAAAAAATTGCAAAACTAGAAAATATGATTATATACATAAAGTATGACTATATACATATAAAAAAAGGTAAATAAATAAAAGAAAAACTTGTTTATATAAATAATTATATATGTGTATACGTATGAAGCTACATAATTCTTGTCATACAGTCACGTATTTAAAATCAAACAATTTTTAAAAGTAATATTTTGTTATTAATATCACGTATTCTTCCCTACCTGGAAATATTTATATTCTAACGCTACTTAAATGTTTGCAATTATATTATTTAATATCTTAATACAAAATCAATTATATATCATATCATGATTATAAAACCAAACACCAAATTGAATTCAAATTATACGTATCGTCTCGATTCTACAATCGACTGTCCTCACTGCCAAACTAACTAATCCCACTAGCCTCTCTAGTCCTTCTCCCCACTCCTGTCGCTTGGCCGGACCCCAAGAACTTATATTTTGTTTTATATTTATATATGTTTATAAACATTTTTATTCATTTTTTTGTAATATGGATATATTTTTAAATTCTTTAGCTCAATATACTTTAGAGGAAATTTTTTTTTCTTTATGAGTTTATTCACATATTTATTTATTTATTATTGTAGCGTGAAGAATATATGACAGGAATTGTATGCCAATTTAATACGAATATACGTATATATATATGCTGTTGTAAGTCGCTCGAAAACCTCATCGTTCTTGCCTCTCTTATTGAAAATGTACTATTCATGTAGCATAAAATCCTTTCAAATATACTTGCGTGCGGCAAAACTAAAATAAGTTTTGTCAATGAAAATATACACGCGAGGCATATTTCAAACCAGAAACGAGTTTTCCTTGTAAGTATTTTTGTTTAAATGTCACAGTTTTATGAGAAACGAGTTTATTTGTCAAAAAGTGATAAATAATTATTATTATAGAAATATGTTCAAAATTTCTCCCTAATTGACCGATCCAATTCCATTGGTTCCACAGTGTAAACAACTTGTAAGGAACAGACAATATTCCACTAAAAATCCTTATATAATAAAAACATAATTAGCCATCATGAGTGCAATTGTGTGATTCTTTTTAATTTTCGC